GGCGGGCGCCCCGCGCTGACACTCACCGCGGCCGCCCAGCGCGGGAGGAGCCGAGCGTCTCGCCGGGAAAGGGCGGGGCCGCGCGCGTCACGTGACCTGCCGGCCGCCGCGCGTGCGCAGTCCGCTCGCCTGGGAGGGCGGGGAAGGCGGGGGAGGGGCGTGGGGGTTGGGGGCGGTGATGGGGCGGGGAAGGCGGGGGTTTGGGGGAAGGCGAAGGGAAGGCGGGGAAGGCGGGGGGTTGGGGGGAAGGCGAAGGGGAGGCGGGGAAGGCGGGGGGGTTCGGGGGGCGGGGAAAACGGCGGGTTGCGGGGCCGGGGAAGGCAGTGGGGGTTTGGGGGAAGGGGCGGGGAAGGGGGGGCGGGGAAGACGGGGGGGGGGGTTCGGGGCTCGGGGAAGGCGGGGTGGCGGGGAAGGCGGGGGGGTTTGGGGGTCGGGGAAGGCGGGGGGGCGGGGAAGGCGGAGGGGGTTGGGGGCCAGGGAAGGCGGGGGGGGCGGGGAAGGCGGGGGGGTTTGGGGGGCGGGGAAGGCGGGGGGCGGGGAAGGCGGGGGGGTTTGGGGGATGGGGAAGGCGGGGGGGCTTGGGGGGCGGGAAAGGCGGGGGGGGGTCGGGGGGCGAGGAAGGAGGGGGGGACGGGGAAGGCGGGGGGGGTTGGGGGGCGGGGAAGGCGGCGGGGGGAGGGGTTTGGGGAGCGGGGAAGGCGGCGAGGGGGGGGTTGGGACGCGGGGTAGGAGCCAGGAAGGCGGGGGTGGGTGGGGGGGTGAGTTGGGGGGCGGGGAAGTCAGGGTTGGGGTTGTGGGGGCGGTGAAGACGTGGGGTTCCAGGTGGGAGGGTAGTGGGGGGAGGGTTGGAGGGCGGGGAAGGGGGGAGGGTTTGGGGGGCGGTTAAGGTTGGGGGCGGGAGGGGGGAGGGGGACGCAGCCGCCAGCCGGGGGGAAGGCTCCCTTTCCTTTGGGGGCTGAGCTTGCCCGGCCCTACAGAAGACACCGGGCAAGTGTATGGCTGAGTAGAACCCAGTTAAAGAGCTTCACTAAACTACCATGTTTCCCCGAAAATAAGACATCCTCCGAAAATAAGACCTACTTACAGGTTTCCTTCTGAATGAAATATAAGGCATCTCCCCGAAAATAAGGCCCCCCCCTAGGCTAAACACGAGAGATTTGGCCCACTGATTCTGAAAGAAATGGAGTCACAAGAAATTCACCAGGAAATTCGGGAATTGGATTGTGAGGATGATGTTCCAGAAGAGGATGACATGTTGTCATTGAATAAATGAGTAAATTCTTGATACTGTAGGATTCACAGTGTGTCTGGTTTGTGTTGACAACTACCGTACTACCGTACCGTACACAGGTAATACATTTCCTTTATTTTCATTTAACAGTAAATGTGTGCCGTATTCTTCTTCATGGAAAAATAAGACATCCCCTGAAAATAAGACCTAGCGCATCTGTGGGAGCAAAAATTAATATAAGACGCCGAGACTGGTTTAGCTCAATGGATAGAGCGTCAGCTTGGGGACTGAAGGGACCCGGGTTCGATTCCGGTCAAGGGCATGTACCTTGGTTGCGGGCATGTCCCCGGTGGGGGGGTGTGCAAGAGGCAACTGATCGATGACTCTCTCTCATCGATGTTTCTAACTCTCTATCTCTCTCCCTTCCTCTCTGTACAAAATCAGTAAAATATATTTTTAAAAAATTAATATAAGACACTGTCTTATTTTCAGGGAAACAGGGTAAATCACCCGGCAGAACCCAGGTTAAGAGCTTCGCTGCACTTAAAGTAGGACCGAGGCTCTTGCTGGCCGTCATTCTGTCCGCCCGCCAGGCCTCAGACTCTGTACCCGCCACAGGTCCGCCCCCAGGCTATCGGCGTGGCAGCCTGTCAAACGAGGTCCTGTCGCCACGTGCCCACAGGAGTCCCCACGGCAGGGTGAGGTGACTGCGGGCGAGACAGCCCAGCGCCGCCCGTAACCGCAGCCGTCCGTGCTGAGACAGAGACCCACGCAGAGGTCCCTGATTAGTCCATTTCTACAAAAGGGGGTCTTGATGGGTCAGAAGGGAGTCCCCCTCTGGTCCTTGGAGATGCAGGTGAGGCTTTAGCTCCGTTTGGATGGGGAAAATATTCACCCAATTTGACCCATGCACCAAGACGGCACCGGTTCGATTCCGATTGCGCACCCAGGTTGCACACTCCATCCTCCCCCCGCCCCTCCTCCCCCCCAGTCAGGGGCGCAGAAGGGCCAGCCAATGGATGTTCCTCTCTCTTTGATGTTTCTCTCTCTCTCTCTACCTCTCCCTTCTCCCTCTCTAAGATCATATATTTATATATGTATATATATATTATTTTATTGATTTTTTTTTATAGAGAGGAAGGGAGAGAGATAAAGAGCTAGAAATGTCGATGAGAGAGAAACATGGAACATCGACCAGCTGCCTCTTGCACACCCCCACCGGGGATGTGCCCGCAACCAAGGTACATGCCCTTGACCGGAATTGAACCTCGGACCCTTCAGTCTCCAGGCTGCCGCTCTACCCACTGAGCCAAACCGGTATGTGTATATATATATACATATATGTATATATATACACACACACACACACATATATATATATATATATATATACACATATATATAGTTTTTAGCCTATTCTATGGATCAGACACCTTACAGAGAATATTTACTATACCCCTCACAAAAGTTATTGGACAGATTTTTATTATTTCATATTTTTACATTGTTTTAAGTAAATTAAGTCATTTATTCCAAGTCATATAGCAGGCGAGCTACCGAATCTGAAGATCCAAACTAGATGTGTCTGGATTCTTTCTTGGCACCAGACTCACTTCCCAGCAGGGTAGAAGGGCATTTGACCAATGGTTGTAAACGCTGTATGATGCCACGTAAATAAAGTCCAAGAACAGGCAACACTTAACATTGCGCTGGTATAGGTTTTCCTTAGTTTTGCTCAGCTGCCGGCTAAAGCATCCTTTGCTTTACAATCTGCATGGATGTGAAGCTGACATTGACCCAACACTTCACCATATATGTCAGCTACCTGTCTACAGGCATTCTATTATTTAACTTAATCTTCACTGCCGGAAACCAATCATTGTCTCACTAATAGAAAGAGACTGGTCAACCTTGAAGCTCTGAAAGGTCAGAGCCAACCGCACCCGATCTAATTGAGACAATAGTAACTAAAGCAACTTCCCCAACTTGTAATCATATAAACCCTTACTGATAGGATAATCCGATTATTACCTGCCTGAGGGCTATGGGTGTTTCCCAAAGCTGCTTAAGGGTACTGGGTGTATCCCACAGCAGCCTCAATAAAAGGGACAGCAAGGCCAGAGCATAGACAGTCTTCCCACTAGAGGTGGACTCCCGCCTGGCCCCCCCATTTGTCCCAAATTAACTGTTTTCTAGTCTCTTCATTTTAGTGTGTGGCCTCCTCCAGAAACCGGACCCTGAGTTGGCCCTGATCATGCGGGTCATGTTAAGGGTTCCTACACTTCACATTCTTTAAGGCAGTCTTATTCCTACGCCCATTTTATTTTTTATTTTTAAAAAATATATTGTTTTGCTGAAGCAGGTTTGGCTCAGTGGATAGAGCATCGGCCTGCGGACTCAAGGGTCCCAGGTTTGATTCCGGGCAAGGGCATGTACCTTGGTTGCGGGCACATCCCCGGTAGGGGGTGTGCAAGAGGCAGTTGATGGATGTTTCTCTCTCATCGATGTTTCTAGATCTCTATTAGTCTCTTTTCCTCTCTGTAAAAAATCAATAAAAAATATATTTTAAAAAATAAAAATAATGTATTGATTTTTTACAGAGAGGGAGAGGGAGAGTCAGAAACATTGATCAGCTGTCTCCTGCACACCACCCACTGGGGATGTGCCCGCATCCCAGGTACGTGTCCTTAAGCGGAATTGGATCCTGGACCCTACTGTTCTGCAGGCTGACGCTCTATCCACTAAGCCACACCTTTTAGGGCCCCACGCCCATTTTGTAAGTAAACAAACAGGTTTGCAAGGGCCAAGTCGCTTGGCCAAGATCAAAGAAGTGCAAGCCGCAACACTGAGCATCCGATGCCAGTATCTGGCTGGAGGACCTGCATGTGTGCATGCCGCCCTGGTGACATAAACCAGCAGGGAGCCGACGAGGCCTGGGACATGGACACGGCAGCTGGTTCTCCAGCTGCTGCACTTCGTTCACCAAAATGTCCTGCCTTCCTGTCGAAACCGGTTTGGCTCAGTGGATAGAGCATCGGCCTGTGGACTGAGGGGGGGGGAGTGTCCCAGGTTTGATTCCATGTCAAGGACATGTGCATTGGTTGAGGGCACAACCCCAGTGGGGAGTGTGCAAGAGGCAGCTGGTAGATGTTTCTCTCTCATCGATGTTTCTAGCTCTCTATCTGTCTCCCTTCCTCTCTGTAAAAAGTCAATAAAATATATATATATTTTAAAAAATGTCCTGCCTTTGCCGGGACCGGTTTGGCTCAATGGATAGAGAGTCGGCTTGGGGACTGAAGGGTCCAGGGTTCGATTCCGGTCAAGGGCATGTACCTTGGTTGCGGGCATATCCCCAGTGCGGGGTGTGCAAGAGGCAGCTGATCGATGATTCTCTCTCATTGATGTTTCTAACTCTCTATCTCTCTCCCTTCCTCTCTGTATAAAATCAATAAAATATATTAAAAAAAAAAATGTCCTGCCTTCCTTGCTCAGGGGAAGCTGCCAGATGCCAGGCGCTACAGGCAGTTTCTGGCAGGAACCCCCGGGTGCCAAGAAGGTTCTCCCCTCCAGCGGCCCCGCCCTCTCGCCAGGGCGCCGCGCGGACCAATCAGCGGCGCGGACTGCCGCCCCGCCCCTCAGCGCTGTTTGCCAATCAGCGGCGCGGACGGGCGCCCCGCCCCTTCGCGCTGCGTGCCCCCACGTACGCCGCTCCGCAGAGCGCCGCCCCCTCTCGCGGCCGCTTCACTCCGTGACCGCGGCGGCCGGCGGGATGCGGCTGGGCCCGAGGCCCGCGGCCCTGGGGCTGCTGCTGCTGCTGCTGCTGTGCGCGCCGGCGGCCGGCGCTGGGGACGCGCAGGGCGAGCACCGCAGCGACTACGACCGCGAGGCGCTGCTGGGCGGCCAGGTGAGTGGGCCGGGCCGGGCCGGGCCGGGGCTGGGAGGGTCGGTCCCGGGGGCCTGGCTGGACGCTGGGCGGGACGCCGGGCCCCGATCCTTTCTGCCCTCCCCCGCGCAGAGCAGGATCCCGAGGCGCGTGGGGACGGGGGCCTTGGAGAGCAGGTGTGAGTCACCCCAAACCCTCCCCTGCAAGGCTCTGCTAGCCCTCTTTTCCTCCCCCCCCCCATTTTGCTCCGCCGATAGTAATGTTTGTTCCCTCCCTCCCCTGTCTTTCGCTTTACCTTCCAAAGGAAGAAGTCGACGAGTATGTTAAACTCGCTCCCGAAGAGCAACAGAAAAGACTGAAGTCGATCGTAAAGAAGATTGACTTGGACTCAGATGGCTTTCTCACCGAAAGTAAGGACGTCCTACATACACAGCTAACTAATAACAGTGGACATAAACATTTAGGACGGGTGGCTGTTGGGGGTCCATTGCTAACGCTCCATCACATTAGAGGTACTTGGAGAGGGTATAAAGGTTCTAGTGAGGAGGACTTACACCTGAAGATCTTTATTTTTGTATATTAAATGTATTGGGGTGACATTGGTTAGTTAGTAAGATCATACAGGTCTCAGGTGTACATTTCTGTGATATTGCACTGTGTGCCCACCACCCAGAGTAAAAATCTTCAGCCACCGTATATTTGACCCCTTTTGCTAACCCCAACCCCCTTTCCTCTGGTATACTTGGAAGTCTTTAGGTACAGGATACTAACTAAAACTCATGCTCTCTCTCATCCTACATAATAAAGAGCTAATAGGCAGGTGCCAGCAGGTGCTCCACCCATCACCCTGGGAAACTGCCCGCCCACAGTCCCCTGCAGTTGTTGCTGGCCCAGGTGAAGCCGGCCTGGGTCCTGGGTGCCTGTGGCCAGCCAGAGGGAAGGAATCCTGGGTCCCGGGTGTGGGGCGAGGCAGAGGAAGTTAGGGGCAATCAGGCCAGCAGGGGAACAGTTAAGGGAGATCGGGCAGGCAGACAGGCAGAGGTGGGTTAGAGACAGTCATGCAGGCAATGAGCGGTTAGGAGCCAGCAGTACTGGATTCCGAGAGAATGGATTGGAGAGGTCCTGAATTGGAGAGGGTGCAGGCCGGGCTGAGGGACCCTCCCCCTCTTGGCTCGAATTTCGTGCACCGGGCCTCTAGCCTACACTAATAAAAGAGAAGGATGCAAATTGACCATACCTTTGCGATGCCCACCAGCCAATCATGAGTGAGTATGCAAATCAACCCAACAAAGATGGAGGGTTAATTTGCATACACAGACACTGCGCAGCGGGGGTAGGATGCAGGCATTCCCCACAGCCCCAGCCACTCCAGGCCTTTGGGCAGCATGGGAAGGAACAGAGGTGGAAAAGCAGCTTCGGGCCTGAACGAAGGGAGTGCCAGCAGCCAGGGGAAGGAAGGCTCATTCTTCCACGAATCTTTGTGCACTGGGCCTACATGTATTCGCAAATCACACCTTGAGCAAACACCTGTTCTTCATCTGACTTTTCTCAGTGTCAACAATGTGACTTAAATAAGTATTTTTTAGAATGAAAAGAATTTGCTTCTTTTACAAGCAAATGTAAAAAGGCTTGTTGCCTATGAATTAGGTTTATGACAAATCATTACCGCTAAAGAGGCCCTAGAATCATCTTGTCCCTTCTTTTTTTTTTTTTTTTTTTTAAATATATTTTATTGATTTTATACAGAGAGGAAGGGAGAGAGATAGATAGTTAGAAACATCGATGAGAGAGAGTTATCGATCAGCTGCCTCTTGCACACCCCCTACTGGAGATATGCCCGCAACCAAGGTACATGCCCTTGACCGGAATCGAACTCGGGACCCTTCAGTCCCCAAGCCGACGCTCTATCCATTGAGCCAAACCGGTCCCGGCTTGCCCCTTCCTTTGTGGAGATGAAGAAACTGTAGCTCATGCGGGGAAATTAAATGCCTTTCTCAATGGAGTGGCAAAGCCAGGACTCAAATCCAAATCTGTTCCTAATTCAGTTTCTAATATCTTTCACTTAAAACATCTAAGTGGCCGAAACCGGTTTGTCTCAGTGGATAGAGCGTCGGTCTGCGGACTGAAAGGTCCCAGGTTTGATTCTGGTCAAGGGCACGTACATTGGTTGCGGGCACATTCCCAGTAGGGAGTGTGCAAGAGGCAGCTGGTTGATGTTTCTCTCTCATCGATATTTCTAACTCTCCCTCTCCCTTCCTCTCTGTAAAACATCAATAAAATATATTAAAAACAAAAACAAAAACAAAAAAAGCATCTAAGTGCTCTTGGGTAGATTCTGTAGTTCGAAATGAAATGTACAAATGATTAGAAGAATCCTATTCAATAAAGAGGAAATATGCTAATTGACCCTCATGCCATCACAAATAGGGCAGCACCCACAGCCAATAAGGAGGGATATGCTAATTGACCCACGCCCTCAAAATAGTGGTGCCAACAGCCACAAGATAGCAGGCCCAGTCCCCTCAGCCCTTTGCTGTGTACCTGCCTTCAGAGTCCCCCAGTCCCCTTAGTCTTCCAGCCACCTAGGACCTGCCCGAGCTACAGGCAAGCCTCAGATGGTGGCTGCCCAGCCGCCCAGGGCTGCCTGAGGCTCAGGTAACCAGGGCCGGCCGAGGCTGGCGCTGCCGGCAGTGGCAGCAGCAAAGGTGTGATGGGGCGTCGCCTTTCCCTGATGGCCGGGTCACCGCCCACCCCTGAGGGCTCCTGGGCTGTGAGTGGGACTGCGAGAGGCTGGGCTGAGGGACCCCCCCTGGGGCTGTAGCATTTTAATAATATTAAACAGAAGCAAGTTTACTATAACCTGTTTCAGTGCGGCTCAGCATCTAAGGAACAAAATTGCTGAGAGAATATTACAAATGGATACATTTAAGATTTGTTGTCAATGAAGTATCCACATTGGTGCCTTCTGGAGTATTGAGGTTTTGGTACTTTATACTTAAAGAACAATGCCGGAAACCGGTTTGGCTCAGTGGATAGAGCGTCACCCTGCGGACCGAAAGGTCCCGGGTTCGATTCCGGTCAAGGGCATGTACGTTGGTTGTGGGCACATCCCCAGTAGGGGGTGTGCAAGAGGCAGCTGGTCGATGTTTCTCTCTCATCGACGTTTCTAGCTCACTCTCTCTCTCTCTCTCCCTTCCTCTCTGTAAAAAATCAATAAAATATATTTAAAAAAGAAAAAAGAACAAGAAAAGCTTACTCTTTAATATCTAATAAGGATGGGTTCATCTTTGGTTAGAAAGCGCACAGAACAAGTTGATTTGGAAGACTTTATGGTACCTGTTTGTAAGGGCCTCCATATACTCAAATATTTAGTAGTAAATATTTCAAAAAGATGCAGAAACCAGTTTGGCTCAGTGGATAGAGCATCAGCCTGCGGACTGAAGGGTCCCAGGTTCGATTCCAATCAAGGGCATGTTCCTTAGTTGCAAGCACATCCCCACTAAGGGACGTGCAAGAGGCAGCTGATGGGTGTTTCTCTCTCATTGATGTTTCTAGCTCTCTATCTCCCCCTTCCTCTCTGTAAAAAATCAATAAAATATATTAAAAAAAATTTTCCCCCCAAAAAGTTAAAGTTAAAAGGAACTTACTCCAAACGTTCGTTATACAGAGAAGAAAGCAGAAACTCGTGAGGGTAAACCTGCCCTATGGCAGAGCTGCCGTGAACCCGCATTTCTGGTCACTGTCATTCTGCATTCTGCCGGGCTGTGGCGAACTCCACATAGACTGGAGGAGACCTTCATTCCTGAGACCCTTCAGGAGATTTTGCCAGTTTGCACTTTATGGTCTTAAGTTCTTGGTTCTTGGACTTAGGTTCTTGAGAGACAGCAACTGTCAGTGGCAGGAGTTTGTGCTTTGAAGCCAAAGGTATGTTGAACATGCACTCGATCGACTGATCACTTACTAGGTGTGAGTCCTCAAATCGAAACCTCCATTTCCAACCGAAACCCATGTGGCTCAATGGATAGAGCATCAGCCTGTGGACTGAAAGGTCCCAGCTTCGATTCCAGTCAAGGTCATGGACCTTGGTTGCAGGCACTTCCCCAGTGGGGGTTGTGCAAGAGGCAGCTGATGGATGGTTCTCTCTCATCGATGTTTCTAACTATCCCTCTCTCTTCCTCTCTCTGAAAAATCAATAAAATAAAAACAAAACAAAACCCAAACCCTCCATTTCCTGAACTTTAAAGTAGTGATGATAATTGCCTTGTTTTGAAGGTTGGAGACAATGTATATAAACAACCTGTTATATAGTAACTAGAGGCCCGATGCACGAAATTCACGCAAGAGTAGGCCTCCCCTTCTGCTTCCACCAGCTTCCCTCTGGCACCCAGGACCCAGACTTACCTCCTCCGGCCGCCGGCAGGCACCCAGGACTTGGGCTGGCTTTGTCCGGAAGGGCGTCCAGAATGAGGTCCGGAAGATGTCCCATCTAATTAGCATATTACTCCTTTATTATTAAAGTTTGTTGAATACATTTGATGCTGTCATTATTATTCTGCCCTGATTTAGAGTTTCAGGGGAAACCAAAAAAAGTGCCTTTTTATATTCACCTGACCTCGCCTAGGTCAGTGGAAGAATACCACTCTTTAAACCAAATGGCATACTCCTGCCATCTTGGCAAATATTTGTTTTCTCCTCTGCTTTTTCTACAATGTAGTATATTAAAAATCTCTATGAATAGATTTTTAAAAATATATTTTATTGATTTTTTTTTTTACAGAGAAGAAGGGAGAGGGATAGAGAGCTAGAAACGTCAATGAGAGAGAAACATCGGCCAGCTGCCTCTTGCACACCCCCTACTGGAGATGTGCCCGAAACCAAGGTACATGCCCTTGACCGGAATAGAACCTGGGACCTTCCAGTCTGCAGGCCCACGCTCTATCCACTGAGCCAAACCAGTTTCAGCTCTATGAATAGATTTTTAATAATTGATCTGAAAGTAGATATTTGAGATTTAGAAACTTTTCAGGTGCCCAGTTAGGACAGACAGCTGTTGCAAGAAGCGCATAGGTCATAATTGCTAACCATGTCTGTGTTAAAGTCTCCTTTCGATGTTCTGTGTCATGATTAAAGGGAGTATAAGTGTTTCTCAACTTGAGTCACTTGAAGACCATTTCACAATTTAGGCCATATCTACTTACCATGGATTATTTTCTTAGTGTAGTATTGATTCAACTCAATGTTAAATTTATTTTAAAGGAAAATTTCATGTTACTTTTGCAAATTGAAACCACTTTTTCCTAATACTTATTAAAATAAATGGATTTAAAGATTTGTGTTTCATGATGGATTTATGATAGCAAAAGTTACTTGTAGTTTCAGGGATAATCTTTTTTTTTTTTTTTTTTTTAAATCACATGCTGTTTTGTTCAATTGGTGAATCTTTTTTTTTTTTTTAAATATATTTTATTGATTTTTTACAGAGAGGAAAGGAGAGGGATAGAGAGTTAGAAACATCAAAGAGAGAGAAACATCGATCAGCTGCCTCCTGCACAACCCCCTATTGAGGATATGCCCACAACCAAGGTACATGCCCTTAACTGGAATCGAACCTGGGACCTTTCAGTCCACAGGCTGACGCTCTATCCACTGAGCCAAACCAGTTTTGTTCGATTGGTAAATCTTTTACTAAGTACTTAAGGAGTCAGGGGCTTCCCCTGTATTTGGAAAACCTCAGGGCATAAATCATGCCCAAACTGTGTCCTTGAGCAGCTTACTTCTCTTTAAATCACATTTTATAACGTCTGAGATCCAAACGCTCTCCCCATCTCCCCCTCGCGTTTCTGTGAACACTGCTAAGTCTGCTCTCATTCCCTATTTGCAAACACTGAATTTTGTGTGTGTGTTTTTACTGAGAGATGGTCTAGAAATCCTCAAAGTATGAGAATTACGGTTAAGACCTATTGTGTTCTGGGACATTCTCCTAGGTGAGCTCAGTTCGTGGATTCAGATGTCCTTTAAACATTATGCGATGCAAGAGGCGAAACAGCAGTTTGTGGAATACGATAAAAACAGCGATGGGAGCGTGTCCTGGGACGAATACAACATCCAGATGTACGACCGCGTGATTGACTTTGACGAGAACACAGCTCTGGACGACGCGGAAGAGGAGTCCTTCAGGCAGGTGAGAGCATGCGTACAGACTGCCTTTGAACAAGAGAGCGGAAGGGGGGGAAGAGAGAGAGAGAGAGAGAAACATCGGTGTGAGAGAGAGACCAATTGTTTGCCTCCTGTGAGGGCTGCTCCTTTTTAAGACTGGATCGTACTCTCGTGCAGGTGCATACTATATTTTGTTTATCCATTCATCTGTACACGGACACTTGGATTTGCGTCAACTTTTTGGCTGTTGTTAATGACTAGAGCCCGGTGCTTGAAATGACTTCACAGGTGGGGTCCCTAGGCCTGGCCTGCAATCGGGGACTCTCGGGGCCATCTCGCCTGCTCCTGAACTGAGCCTGCCTGGCGGGGAGGGACCATGGGAGGTTTGCTGGCCAAAGGGAGAGGACTGGGGGAGGTTGGCTATGGGAGCAGACTCACCAGGGGGAAACTCCTGCATTAGTGTCTGCCCCCTGGTGGTCAGTATGCATCATAGCAACTGGCCCACCAGTTGCTCTGGTCCTTTGGTCGTAATGGTTGCTTAGGCTTTTAGATAGATAGATATGAACATGGGTGTGCAAATATCTGTTCGAGACCCTACTTTAAGTTTTTGGAGGGTTTATACCCAGAAGTGTAATTGGAATTGTTGCATCGTAGGGTGGTGTTATTTTAATTTTTTGAGGAACTACAATACTGTCTTCCATAGTGGCTCCACCCTTTTTTAATAACCCATTTTGAAAAATATATATTTTATTGAGTTTTTACAGAGAGGAAGAGAGAGGGATAGAAAGTTAGAAACAAGGATCAGCTGCCTTTTGCACATCCCCTACTGGGGATGTGCCCGCAACCAAGGTACAAGGCTCTTGAGTGGAATCGAACCTGGGACCTTTCAGTCCGCAGGCCAACGCTCCATCCACTGAGCCACACCAGTTTCGGCTAATAACTCATTTTTGAAGATTCTGTGTGACCGTAGTTCTGTTGCCTCTCATGGTTTAATTTGTTTAAATACATGCTGCTTCAGCAGAGCTGAGGAGGACAATGTTCAGGAAACATTTGTTTAGTAAATAGAACTTTTCAAGACAAATGACTGTTTTCTTCAGAGATTGCTATTTTAAGTACTTTTGTATTTCAAATTAATTTTACAGTCTTTCTTAAAATGATAGTTTTTCTTATGTGGAAAAATAGAAAGCCAAGCACCTAGCTGCAAACCATTATGTCCCAAGATATTATTATTAGTCAAGGGTATTTGGCAAACATTTGAGCCACTTCAAATTCCTTAACTTACCCATTCTCGGTGCCCACCTTTTAGTTACTGTGGCCATAGGTCATCGTTGTACATGCTGTGTTTTTTGTTTGTTTGTTTTTTAAATACATTATATTGATTTTTTACAGAGAGAAAGGGAGAGTGATAGAGAGTTAGAAACATTGATGAGAGAGAAACGTCGATCAACTGCCTCCTGCACTCCCCTTACTGGGGATGTGTCCACAACCAAGGTACACGCCCTTGACCAGAATCGAACCCGGGACCCTTGAGTCTGCAGGCCAATGCTCTATCCACTGAGCAAAACCAGTCAGGGCTGTGCTGTTTGCTTTAGAACCATCCGAGCTCAGAGCTGGTCGTTGCTCACCTGGTGACTGAGCACGTGCTGGGCGTTTGCCCCAGAGTAGAGGTCTGCCTGGCTTTCCATCCGGCTGCCCCACTAACACTCAGGCAGCTTTGGGTCCGATATGGAACCACCTCACACTGTAGTGTCTTTATGTCTGATAATCCTACCTAATAAAGAGGGAATATGTTAGTAATTGACCCCCACGCTGTTGCAAAGATGGCAGCACCCACCGCCAATAAGGAGGGAATATGCTAATTGACTGTCACATCCTTAAAGATGGTGGTGCCCACATCCACAAGATGGCGGCGCCCAGTCCCCTCTGCCCCGCTGGGGTGGCAGGTACGTGGCAAGGCTGGGCCTGCCCCAAGATAGACCTGGTCTCTCCGCATGCTGCCTCCAGAGTTCCCCAGTGCCCTTCAGCCCCCCAGGGCCGGCCTGAGGCATAGGCAAGCCTGCAATGGTGGCCGCCCATAGCTCAGGTAGCCAGGACCGGCTGAGGCTTGCGCTGCCGGCAGTGGCAGCAGCACAGGTGTGATCACCTTCCCCTGATAGTGGGGTCGCCTCCCGCCCCTCAGTGCTCCCAGACTGCGAGAGGGGGCAGGCCGGGCTGAGGGGACCCGCCCCCTTCCCCCCCCCATGTACCTGAATTTTTGTGCACCGGGCCTATAGTGGGATGATAATAGTATGGAGAAATAGCAGTTCTGTGTTAATTCATTTTTATTTATTTATTTTTAAAAAATATATTTTATTGATTTTTTACAGAGAGGAAGGGAGAGAGATAGAGAGTTAGAAACATCGATGAGAGAGAGGCATCAATCGGCTGCCTCTTGCAAGCCCCCCACTGGGGATGTGCCCACAACCAAGATACATGCCCTTGACCGGAATCGAACCCGGGACCCCTCAGTCTACAGGCCGACGCTCCATCCACTGAGCCAAACCGGCCTCGGCAGTTCTGTGTTAATTTAAAAGAATATTTTTCCCTTTCACACTTATATAAAACTAGTAGCCCAGTGCACGAGTCCGCGCTGAGGTGTAGGGAGAGAGAAACATTGATGTGAGAGCAAGATATCAACCGGCTGCCTCCCTCACACCTGCGCCCAGGCACTGAGCCCACCACCGGGCACACATGTGCCCTGGCCGGAATCAAACCGGCAGCCTCTGGCTCCCAGAATGACACCCCACCCGCTGAGCCACACTGGCCAGGGCCTTCTTGTTGCCTTTGCTGTTGGTGTGAGGTGGTCCCCGCTTTATAGCTGAGGAGACCAGGGGAGGGAAGCAGTGTGCCGGAAGGAGCAGCTGGGAGTGGCGTTGCTGGAATCGCTCCGAGCCGCTCTGACGCCGGCGCCTGCGCTGCTGCTTCTAATAAGCGTCATTTCCCCAAACACCCTTCAGAGGGATGATGTGAAGATAGAATAACGTATGAAAATGCACTTCAGATTCCGCATGCTTTGTACTTTTGGAGGTTTATTCACAATTATATGTTGTGATGAGACCCTTAAACGTGTTCAATATCTCATTTCCCAAGCTTCATCTAAAGGACAAGAAGCGCTTTGAAAAGGCAAACCAGGACTCGGATCCCGGTTTGAATCTTGAAGAATTCATTGCTTTCGAGCATCCTGAAGAGGTTGATTATATGACGGTAAGGAAGAGCAGTTTTCATTGAGTTGTTGAGAGGCCAGGACTTGAGACCTGCTTTAGCTAGTGATTCAGAATTGCATATAACCAGAATTGTAAAAGACAGGACCGTCTCCCTGGGAAGGTTGGACTGGGAAGGAGGGTTCTGGGGTGGAGGCTGCTTATTGGGAAGGAGAAGGTAAAGGACTGAGTTTTTATTTTATTTATTTATTTATTTATTTATTTATTTATAATTTCATTTTATTTATTATTATTATTTTCAATATATTTTTATTGATTTTTTACAGAGAGGAAAGGGGAGAGGTGGAGAGCTAGAAACACCGACCAGCTGCCTCCTGCACACCCCCTACTGGGGATGTGCCCGCAACCAAGGTACATGCCCCTGACTGGAATCGAACCTGGGACCTTTCAGTCCGCAGACTGACACTCTACCACTGAGCCAACTGGTTTTGGCTATAATTTTATTTTTAAAAATATATATTTTATTGATTTTTTTTTTACAGAAAGGAAGGGAGAGGAATAGAGAGTTAGAAACATCCATGAGAGAGAAACATCGACCAGCTGCCTCCTGCACAACCCCCACTGGGGATGTGCCCGCAACCAAGGCACATGCCCTTGACCGGAATGGAACGTGGGACCTTTCAGTCTGCAGGCCGATGCTCTATCCACTGAGCCACACCGGTTTTGGCTCCCTCTGCGTTTCTCTTGGCTGATTTAAGGGTGGGTTGGGTAATGGACTCATTCTGTGGTTTTTCTCGGAAAGGGGTCATGTCGGGGACATAGTTACACACGATGGAGGACACAGTACAAAACGAGAGTCCTGCTCTGCCCTTTCAACTGGTCTATGAAAGAAGGCCTACGTGCTGGGGCGGACGGGGCCATGAGACCGTATCTCCAGGCCTGGCCTGGTGTCAGCACTGATAACTCTATCTGAGCAGAGTCCATGGCCTCCCTGGAAGCATGCTCCAACCTTCTCACACTTCAACAGATACATTTTAGATCTGGAGCTAGAACAACAGTTCTGTGCAAAGAGAAAGACTCGGGGTTCTCAGGGTTTGGGTGAAAAGCGGAGTTAAAGAAGAGGGGTAGCCGAAACCGGTGTGTCTCAGTGGATAGAGCGTCGGCCTGCGGACTGAAGGTCTCAGGTTCGATTCCCATCAAGGGCATGTACCTTGGTTGCGGGCACATCCCCAGTGGGGGGGTGCAGGAGGCGGCTGATGGATGATTCCCTCTCACCAATGTTTCTGACTCTATCTCTCTCTCTTCTCTCTGTGAAAAATCAATAAAATATATTAAAAAAAAAAAAAAAAAAGAGAGAGAGGGGTACTCGGAGATGTCGTTGAGGAGGAGGAAAATGAGGTCAGCGCTGAGTTGGTTTCAGAGGAGAGTGGACCCTAACCACACAGCTTGAGGATGCTGGATTTACCACGTGGTGTTGCTATGTTCCTGCTTTCAATCCCAGCATTTGCAAGCACAGACCATCCAAAGGATGGCTGCGAAAGGAGTGACCCGGATGGTGGTGGGATTGGAAACGTCGTCACTAACTTATTTCTGTGCTAGGAATTCGTCATCGAAGAGGCTTTAGAAGAACATGACAAAGACGGGGATGGATTTGTCAGTTTGGAAGAATTCCTAGGTGACTACAGGCGGGACCCAGGTAAGTGTGCGGGTGGAGAGGCAAACGCAACAGAAAGAAAGAAAATGGAGCCAAAAGCACGCGCCCGATGGATGCTCGTTCTGCCCAGTGAGACGAGCAGAACTAGGCACGTGGAGGTCACCCCACAATGCTGTCCTGCTCCCCTCAGTGCCCCGTCTGGGCCCTGGCATGTCTTCCTTTCCAGACACATACAGTGTGATTGTCAAATCCAATGGGGAGGAAGGAAAGGTTGATATTTTTATTTTTTTTTAATATATTTTACTGATTTTTTACAGAGAGGAAGGGAGAGAGATAGTTAGAAACATCGATGAGAGTCATTGATCAGCTGCCTCTTGCACGCCCCCTACTGGGGATGTGCCCGCAACCAATGTACATGCCCTTGACTGGAATTGAACCCGGGACCCTTCAGTCTGGAGGCTGACGCTCTATCCACTGAACCAAGCCGGTATTGGTGGTTGATATTTTTATTTTTTATATATTTTAAAATATATTTTATTGATTTTTTACAGAGAGGATGAGAGAGAATCATCGATCAGCTGCCTCTTGCACACCCCCTACTGGGGATGTGCCCGCAAACAAGGTACGTGCCCTTGACCGAAATAGAACCTGGGACTCTTCAGTCCGCAGGCCGATGCTCTATCCACTGAGCCAAACTGGTTTCGGCTCGGTGGTTGATATTTTAAAACAAAATCCTGGATCTTTTGATGTAGATCTTAAAAGAGAAATAAGTATAAATACCATGAACACCGGTGTGGACTATGGAAGGTCACTAATGGTTGTCTGAAATTTTAGGAGTTTGTAAAAGTCTTTTCTCAGAATTTTTTCCGGAATTGTTGCCTAAAAGCACCACTTACTGGGAAGGTCCTTTGAAGTGACACGTAGCATTGCTCTGTAAGAACAGGCGAGAAACTTTATGTATCCATGTGACATACAGACAATTTTACCCAGATCAAATTTGGGAAAAGCAGATATAACAAATAGCAGTTGATAATTACTGGTTTGTGAGAACATGCAGCGATTTCAAAACTTGAGACCTGTGTGTCACTGTTGAAAATGACTATATAGTTTGTACTTATTTTAGCACTTTTCAGTTAAATATTTTTGTTTTTTGGCATTTTTTTATGTAGTAGGCTTTACATTCATTCCTTTTATTCTAGGGATATATCCAGTGTCTCATTATATACATGTGATATTCTTATATGTGTATTTGTTGTTGATTTCTTTTCATGTAAAGCAGCCAATGAAGATCCAGAGTGGATACTTGTTGAGAAAGATAGATTCCTGAATGATTACGACAAGGATTCGGACGGCAGGCTGGACCCTCAAGAGCTGCTGTCTTGGGTGGTGCCCAACAACCAGGGCATTGCCCAGGAAGAGGTGAGCGCTCCCGAGTGGCACCCCCCCCCTGTGTGTGTGTCACTGTGGATGGGAAAGGAAGCTCAAGTGTGTGAGCCAAAGAAAGAAGCACTTACATTTTTTTAGGATCAATGCATTGCTCTTTCTTTTTTTAAAAATATATATTTTATTGATTTTTCACAGAGAGGAAGGGAGAGAGATAGCTAGAAACGTCGATGAGAGAGAAACATCGACCAGCTGCCTTTTGCACACCCCCTACTGGGGATGTGCCCGCAACCCAGGTACATGCCCTTGACCGGAATCAAACCTGGGACCTTTCAGTCCGCAGACCGACGCTCTATCCACTGAGCCACACCGGTTTCGGCACATTGCTCTTTCTTGATTTAAATCTATGAGCTGTTTTAGATCATTAAGGGACAAGCAAGTTAAAATTGCATCATGTATTCATTTGATAGGACAGTTAGAAAAATAAACTTTGTATTTGCCTGTAGGGGCTCAAAATGGATTATGTTCATGTTGCTTAACTTTGAGATATCCTGAGTCAGATTTGAGTTGCAGGAGACAGAACCCAGTGGAAATTAGCAAAGGAGATAATGAGAGAAGCCAGAGAAAGACCCCGTGACACTCTGTAATGTTTTCATTTACTCAGACAGTGAGTACTTGAATGGAGCAATAATCTTTTTTTAAAAATATATCTTATTGATTTTTCACAGAGAGGATGAGAGAGGGATAGAGAGTTAGAAACATTGATGAGAGAGAATCATCGATGAGCTGCCTCTTACACCCTCCCTACTGGGGACATGCCTGCAACCAAGTTACATGCCCTTGACCAGAATCGATCCTGGACCTTTCAGTCCGCAGGCCGACGCTCTATCCACTGAGCCAAACCGGTCCCGGCATGCAATAATCGTTTTGATGAGTGATTCTTTTATTGCTCACAGGCTCCTTAAAAAATAGGGTGCAAACAGTGAATGAATGAAAGTATGAATGGCTCTGACAAATCAAACACCCATTGAAATGTGCACATCTTGTTGAAACTATGAATTGCACCCGACACATTGAATGACGTTTGTTCAAGGCTCTCCACCTCATCGACGAGATGGATCTGAACAATGACAGGAAGCTCTCCGAGGCGGAGATTCTGGAGAACCAGGACTTGTTCCTCACCAGCGAGGCCACAGACTATGGCCGCCAGCTTCACGATGAGTATTTCTACCACGACGAGCTCTGACCCCGCGGAGCGGCTGGCTCCTTCTGTAGTTTCTTACCGGTGTTACATTTGTGAGACAATATCGACGCGGTTATTTTCCGCTCTGGGGTCTTACAGCCACCAGCCGTATCTTAACGTAGATGATAATTCTGGCCTTTTAGGAGAAAAACGAAACTCTGGTGTGTATTTCAAAAATGTATCGGAGAAAACAATATTGTGCCATATGACAGCCAAGTCTTTCCTGTATACGCCTTCTCTTCAGTGCTGTGCTGGGGGATACTTTGAGTTCCAGTTCCATACTTGAAAATTGGAACATTTCAGAGAGGCCTAAAGAAGTATGTGGCTGAGCTATACATTTTTCTTTCTTTAAGTAGCATTCATTGGAGAACCGACGGGAGTACGTTGTTTTTAGATGTAGCGTTTTGTTAAAAAAAAAAAAACACCACAAAAACCTTTAAAGGAACCTGCAGAAGAACTTATACCTCACACCTAAGTTGAGAAGTTCTGCTTAATTTTAAACTGGTTTCTATCAAGGGTTTTATTGTATGAAATAGAACTTTATATTTTTGCATACTTCTAGATAGTAATTATATTTAACGTGTAACCATAGCTCTATGGTGTGTGGATCTTGGTATTGTTTTGAACTCTTCTGACTGATTAAAAAATGAAAGGTCCTATCTTTTTAAATTTTGTTAGTTTCCTTTAATCTTCCAGGTAAACCTTGAATTTCACATAGGTTTTGTTCTGTTGTACACTATCCCGCCTTATCCATTCCTGTATTTTGGTAGCGAGAGTTCTAGAACTCTGTTAAATTATTCTTGTTCCATACTTGTATTTTTTTTTTTTAATAAAAGAATATCATAATTAAAAGTATACTGGATACATTTCAGTTGCTATTGTAGCAAATATGGTTGTGCTCTTTGGGGCTAGAAATAATGGTAAGAATTACACAGGTTGACCAAAACCGGTTTGGCTTAGTGGTAGCGTCAGTCTGTGGACTGAAAGGTCCCAGGTTCAATTCCGGTCAAGGGCATGTACATTGGTTGCGGGCACATCCCTGGTAAGGGGTGTGCAAGAGGCAGCTGGTCGATGTTTCTCTCTCATCGACGTTTCTAGCTCTCTATCTCTCTCCCTTCCTCCTCTCTGTAAAATATCAATAAAATATATTAAAAAAGAAGAATTATATAGGTTGGAATCACCAGTAGAGCTTAATATCAGTTATACTAAGTTAAATCATATTTGATAAGCATTTCTTTATACCAAAATGGTCAATTTGTGTGTGTGTTTTAAAAATATATATTTTATTGATTTTTTTACAGAGAGGAAGGGAGAGGGATAGAGAGTTAGAAACATCGGTGAGAGAAACATCAATCAGCTGCCTCCTGCACACCTCCCACCAGGGATGTGCCCGCAACCAAGGTACATGCCCTTGACCAGAATCGAACCTGGGACCATTCAGTCTGCAGTTTGACACTCTATCCGATGACCCAAACTGGGTAGGCCCAAAATGGTCAGTTTTGACCTTATTTAGCAGTTCAACTTTCTGTGTTTGGGGGGAGTAAGAAAAGTGAGAAGGCGAGGAATTCATGTTTCCATAGCTCTGAACCACAAATAGATTTCTCTCAAAATTCTTTTATTTGTGGGTGAGCATTCTGTTACTATTTCTCTTACAGTTTATGAAAAAAGTATAAGTAATTTGCTTCAACATTGAGTTTTTGCTGAGTATTTACCTTTCCTGCCTGCTATAAAAATTTTTTAAAAATATATATATTTTGAGGAGAATCCAAGATGGCTGCGCCCAGGTAAACACCTAGCCGCAGCCGCACACAACAATTTCAATAAAATACTAAAATATAAAATGGACATTACCCAGCACTACAGGAAAGTCGACTGACTGGAAATTCTACGAGAAACAAGGAGAAAACCAGAAGGAAGCGCGGAGGAGCTGGAAAAGCCTGAGGTACGGAGACTCGCGGTGCGCGGAGAGGACGGAACCGGAGAGGAGGGCGGCTGAGTACCTGGCTGGCGTTCCCTAGCGGGAAGGAGATAAAGATCCGACTGTGTTGGGCCCCTGTTCTGACTGCTCTGAACCCCAGTTCTAGGCCAGACCCCGGGGACCCAGGCTCACACAGAGGGAGCTGGGCTGTGAGGTGGAACCCGGGGAAGCGGCGAAAGGAGGTCCCGGCGGCGCGCACATTGCGTGCAGAGAAGGGACAGTCAGCTGTGCCGCGGAATTGGCCCTGGCCGGAAGGAGACAGGGGCTCCAGACTGCTCTGAACGCCATCTCCAACTCCACTTCCAACTGAACTGAACCCCAATACCAGGCTCATTGGGGGAGAGCATAGACTGTTTGGCAGCAGGCGAAAAGCGAGGGCACCTTTCTCTCAGAGGCGCTTGCAACAAGTACTGAAGGACCCTGAGACCCAGGAGCCGCATAGGGCGGGGCTGACGGAAGCCAAGGCTGTAGGCTCCACCAGAATCCCTGCCCCATCTGTAGCTGTGAAATGCGATAACGAAATAGATCACAAACGAAAGAAATGGAGGACAAAAAGCTACTGGATATAGAATTCAAATCTATAAGGTTTTTCAAGAATTTCCTAGAAAAGATAAGACCTATGAAGATATGAAAAGGGATCAACTAGAATTAATAAGGAATCAACAAGAAATGATAAGGGAGCAACAAGAAATGATAAGGAAACAACAAGAAATAAAGAATACATTGTCTGAAATAAAAAGTATTATAGAGTCCTAAAAACAGAATGGAAGATCGCAAGAATCAAGTCAAAGATTTGGAACATAAAGAGCCAGAAGACACTCCTCCACAGAAGCTAGAAGGCAAGAGAATCCAGAAAATTGAAGATAATGTAAGAAACCTCTGGGACAACTTCAAGCGAACCAACATCAGAATTATGGGGGTCCCAGAAGATGAGATAGAGCAAGATATTGAAAACATATTGAAAGAAATAGTGACAGAAAACTTCCCCCACCTGGTGAAAGAATTAGACTTACAAGTCCAGGAAGCGCACAGAACTCCAAACAAAAGGAATCCAAAGAGGACCACACCAAGACACATCATAATGGCAAAAGACAAAGAGAAAATATTAAAAGCAGCAAGAGCAAAGAAGGTAGTTACCTATAAAGGAGCACCTATACGATTGTCAGCTGACTTCTCAACAGAAACCATGCAGGCCAGAAGGGAATGGCAAGAAATATTCAAGGTGATGAATAGTAAGAACCTACAGCCAAAGATAATCTACCCAGAAAAGCTATCACTCAGAATCGAAGGTCAGATAAAGAGCTTCACTAATAAAAAAAAAGCTAAAGGAGTTCATCAGCACCAAACCAGAATTATATGAATTGCTGAAGTTGGTTCTTTCAGAAGAGAAAGTAAATAAAGATAAAAATTATGAACAACAAATACGTAACTATCAACAAGTGAATCTAAAAACCAAGGAAATTAAAAAAAAATCTGATGAACAATATTAACTGTTGAATATAATAGAGTCAGAGGTATGGAAGGGGAGTGAACTGACGATTCTTGGGGAAATGGGGAGAGGGGGATGTGGGAAGAGACTGAACATAAACTGTGCACCTATGGATGAGGACAATGGGGAGTGGGGAAAGGGCAGAGGGTGGGGTGGGAACCTGGTGGAGGAGAGCAATGGTGGGGGGGGGGAGGAACATTTGTAATAATATGAACAATAAAAACTTATTTAAAAATAAATAAATAAAATAAAAATTTTAAAAAATAAAGATTTATAAAAAAAATGAAAAAATATATATTTATTTATTTTGCCCAAACCGGTTTGGCTCAGTGGATAGAGCGGGTGTCTGAAAGGGGGGGAGGGGAATCTTGTCACCATCCCCAGCTCACCTGCTGTTAAGAAAAAAAGGTGTCTTCGTAATTGGCATGTCCCCCTGAGGCACGTGGTCACCCTGTCCATTGTGTAGTTTAGCCTCCCCCCGACCCAAGTGTCTTAGAACGGAGCCCAGCAGCCCCAAGGGTGTCACGAGCCACTTGTGTGGAGGGTTCCTTTTTTAGATCGGAAATGAAACGGAGGTGTGAGGCGAAAGAGGCATGCCTGGGTGTCATTGACGAAGCGATGGCCTTCCCCTGTGAAGAACATGAACCTTTTTCTCTGGGATGATGGAGGGCTTGGATCCTTGTTCCTTGGATTTTTTGGGACCTGAAATTTCAGCACCAAGGATAGGGACACAGCGGGGGTGGGTCGCCTGAGCACTTCTCCATTGAATCCCCAGCTCCTGGCTCGGGCTTTCCTCCATCCACCCAGTCCTCCGAGAGCACCCTGGCCCTGCCCTGGTGAGATGTGCCTGTATTGTGCTATTTTTTTTTAATCGGTGTCAGCTGACTCATGAGGATCCCTGAGTCCTGGGGCTTCTGAGGCTCAGGCAGGTGCCCTGTGGGCGTTGTGAGTGAGCTCCCTCGCCCATGTCCGGAGCGCAGCTTCCTTGGCCCCACCCGCTGTGCCCCGATGGTTCCCCGGGCCTCACGTTAGAAGTCCAGCATGCCCCAGTGTTTCTGCACATCCGGCCAGTACCTCTCCTGGGGTGGGGTGTGTGTGTGTGTGTGTGTGTGTGTGTGCAAGGTTTGCACAATGAAGTGCGCGCTCACGTTGGACATGCTGGCATCCCCCATCGCCAACCCGCCCGCCTTCCCCCCACCCCGCTCCCACTGTCACCCATCCGGTAACTCCCCTGGTAGATTCACTCTGCTCAGAACAGGCCTCCACAGCATGCGTTCTATGCCTACAACCTGAAGACAGGAAAATGGTGATGAAATAAATGTCGACTGTGGTGACAGGGAGAAGTTTCTTAACAAAAGTGTATCAAACAAAACACACTGGTTACATGCAATTGTCTGACAGTAACATATCTGCAGGAAGGGTTGATAAGATGCTGCTGTGATGCTTTATGCCACTGAAGATCACTATACACGGAAGATCTCAAACAAAATGTGAAACAAACATGGCAAGCACCACATGAAACAGAAGCTTGTCTGC